TGTTCTAAATTGGCCAGCCAACTCCCCTGACCTTAGCCCCATAGAAAATCTGTGGGGTATTGTGAAAAGGAAGATGCAGAATGGCAGACCCAAAAACGCAGAAGAGTTGAAGGCCACTATCAGAGCAACCTGGGCTCTCATAACACCTGAGCAGTGCCACAGACTGATCGACTCCATGCCACGCCGCGTTAATGCAGTAATTGAGGCTAAAGGAGCTCCAACCAAGTATTGAGTATTGTACATGCTCATATTTTTCATTTTCATACTTTTCAGTTGCTACACTTGTGAAAGTAAAATCTGTTGGGCTCTTTTTGGCATCAAGACAATTATTCTTATTGCCACATTGCCAGACAGGACACCGTTAAAAAAAATTAAAAAATCATCCAAGTGACAATAACTGTACATCCCTTCACACCGCTGTTCGGGGTGTTAATAATATGTTTGAGGAGCTTAAACGGCAGTACTGTATCAGATTTATAGTCCCCATCCTGCAGATCTATTAGAATCTGTCCTTAAATTACAGCCAAATCCATTTACACAGTGACAGATAATAGCCTTTCAATAAACCAGAACTTATACGCCACATATCTTCCTAAATAACCCTTCTAAAAAAATGTTTCATGGATTTCAGACAGAACCATTAACTTATATTTTTTATATCAAACTGCACTTCCAATATTCACCACTGTTCGGCGCCAAGTACTGTTTGCCTCTGATCACAGAGAAGCAGGCTTGCTTGAAGTTGCAATGAATCATGGGATATCCAAGGCTACGCAGGATCAACTGGGCCCATCCTTATTATTTATTTGAAATCTCTTAAATGTATCAAATCATACGAATACCTGACTAACATTGTTTCTATGTTGATTATTGTTTCATTGTCATTCAGTTATTCTTTTTTTCCCTCATCAACGTTACTTTGTATTTCTATTTTGAAATCTACCTCTATATCTTCCGCAGAATTCTACTGTTGCTATTGCTTTATTTGTTTGTACTTACTTTGTTTAAATAAAGTTCATAAACAAAAAAAAAAAAAAAGAAGAAGAAGAAGGATACATTTCTCGGCGTCACTGGCTATGTTTGAATTTATGGCCCACATCTTCCAGGGACCCGGTCTACCTGGAATGGATCCTTTGAAGTCCATGAAAATAAGGAGACCAGAAGAGTTTTGGCTGTGAATTCAAACAGGTCTAGCCGTCAGCAGCTTTACCTCCGTACACTCTGTTGCTTAGCAACCCTGATAGTTGACACACAAAGCACCAAAAGAATGAATACCAAACTTTTCAAAACTTTTTCTTTTTTTTATTTATTTTTTTATTGTAAACTGAACAAAGACAACACTCATGAGAATCCAGAGTGGAATTGGTGACAACCACCAGGAGGATGAACAAATAAAAGCAAATGTAATAATATAAACCTTAGTGAGTTAAATAACATGCTGCTGTCATTTTGCACATCTCTGATATTGCTGCTATTTTTAAATATCTATGACTGTAAAAATGTCCATAGCTCTATATTGGTTATTTATTCTCCAGGTGCACAGATTTATATTATTAAAACACTTTACAGTACAGCATTTTTTTTTTTACTGAACTCTTCCCTATTATGTTATTCTTATACATTTTTCAATAATCACTTGCTGCTGTAAATTTGCCCATTGTGGGACAATAAAGAGATTTTCTGTTCTATTCTATTTAATTCTATTCTATTCTATAAAGGGGTCGAAAGATATAAGTAAATCTAAACAATGTATGTATAAAAAATATATCTGAACAATCTCTTATATTTAACATAAAAAAATCTTAGTTAAGCAAATTGCAAAATGGCAATAAAAAATAAAAATCCTATCACATGTTTAGTTCCCACAATCAATGATGTAAGTACCTCTTTTTGGTATCCATTGTCGCTAGCACATTGTACGTAACGGTTATGGTTTCAATCTACGCTCTGGATTACCCATAATTCCAAGTCGTAGTGTAAAAAATAAAATACTCAAATACATTGTTCTTTTAAGATCTTTATTATATGTGTCTATTGAAACATATGAGTGTATGTTTTACCAACCGTCTGATGAACTATATACAGTTATTAACACAGTAATTAAAAGTACCACTGTCTGCTTTGCTATTGGAGTGTTTAAACAGCTCACCACCATGTTGACATCTGCCATGTGTTGGGGTATAAATTGTGCAAAATAGCAATAAAAAATAAAAATCCTATCAGATGTTTAGTTCCCACAATCAATGATGTAACAACACAACAATAGGCCTGTGAGCAACATTATCTGGGTGGGCCACATATGAAGTACGATACGTGATAAAGGTTCAGGATACGGCGACAATTCCATAAATCGGCCAAGAAGATACAATTATGCAATTCTCAGTAGTATATGGTCCCACATCACACATGGAAAAATAGTGACTGTGCACCTTGAATGGAACCTTTGGTGACAGTGCACAACCGACTCAAAACGTGCCCCATACATACACACTTCATCATTCTTCTTCTTCACTAAACATGGATATACTAATATACTAACATACATTAGTATATTAGCACAACAAGCCATGGGGCTACCTTCACCTTCACAGCCCCCCTCCTCACCCACACTGTCTCCATTCATGTTTACTCACTGTAGCAGCAACGTCCGCCTCTCCCTCTTCAGTTCTTTGAAAGAACGTGTTTATTTTGGGAAGTTTTTTCTGTTCTTCTTCCAGCAGCTCTTCTTTGCTTTTTCTTTTCTGGAATCCACTTAAGTACCTCTTTTCGGTATCCATCGTCGCTTGCACATTGTACGTAATGGTTATAGTTTCAATCTATGCTCTGGATTACCCATAATTCCAAGTCGTAGTGTAAAAAATAAAATACTCAGATACATCGTTCTTTTAAGATCTTTATTGCAGTTTGAAACATATGAGT